CCATCTTATTGGGGGAAAATAGCTGAAAGGAGTGAGGTAATTCACTCAAACTCCTCTGGTCAGAAGACTTGGGATCAGCCCAAGGCATTTGATTTTGATGGCACGTTCAATCTACCATGACTCCTCTGCTGCTCTGGATGCGTCTGCCTTGTTTGGACCTTCTAAGACCAACTCCTCCACGTATTCTTCCACCCACTCTTGGCCATCAGTTCAGAAGCCAAGGGCCATCCCCGGACATTCCAGAGCGAAGAGACTGGAGTGTGCTCTCCACCTCTGGTATTATAGATTTTCATGTTACATTCCTGCAGACTCTCTGACACATGACAGGCCACAGAGGTATCATCAGGTCCAGGAATTTGTACTGCAAGAATAATGATTTTAGTTCTCCATGACTACTAACTCAGTGATCTTGCTTAGTCTTATTATAATGTTGTTTCCTATCAAGTGAAACATTGCCTTTAAAAGGATTGCAGTCTCCAAACTTCCTTCACACAATGAATGTTCATGCCCTAGCACCCAGAGTCATCTGGCAGTCATTCTAGTTCCTTGGGGCTGTGCACCAAGAAAGAAAACTGGTTCATCCTAACACCATTCAACACATGCATTACTGATGGTCTTCTGTGGTGTAAGCCATAGAAGGGGCTGAGTTGCCAGTAAATGCCTTTCTGACCAGTACAGTTGGGTCATCTGATCAGCATTCAGAACCATTGCTGTTGGCTCGACAATGTTAACACCTCGAAATTTATTCTTTATCAGAGGTATCCAGTCTCCTAACCTGAGATTTATGAGATTCATTGAAAGAGATAATATATTTTTTAAATGAAAGAGCAAAACAACATAATTACGTATCTACAGAATAATCTGACCTCTGCCAACCCAGGTGGAGATGAAGAGTACAGGGTTTGATTCTTATAATTACACACAGCTTTTGGATAGGGGTGGATGAAAGGACACTTTATTATTCTCCCTCTAGTCATAGTGCTCTGTTGAAGCTAATCAAACCCTAATTCATTAGAAACTGGGACAAGAAACAGAAAATATAAATAAATAATGGTTTCCACTGGCCCTTAAAGCCCGAACGAAACTTCTGATTAAATCTGGCACCCGGGCCCTGCTAGAATGTGCACTCCATGAGAGTGGAAGCCTTGCCTGGCTTGTTCATCAATGGACCTCCAGCACCTAGACAAATGCCCAGCACCTTGTGCTCCCCTCATAAGTACTTGTTGAGGGAAGCAATGAATAAATGAATGAATGAACAAACAAACAAGGCAGACGCATCCAGAGCAGCAGAGGAGTCATGCTGGATTGAACATGCCATCAAAATCAAATGCCTTGGGCTGATCCCAGGTCTTCTGACCAGAGGAGTTTGAGTGAATTACCTCTCTTCTTTCAGCTGTTTTCCCCCAATAAGACAGAAGTAACAATAATGTTTTGCAGATTAAGCGACAAAATTTATGTAAAAGTATTTCACAAAGTACCAGTTACCCATAGGAGAATCCCGTAAGTGACCCTATATCCCACGGCTTCACTGACCCCCGCTAAGTCCTGTTTGTCTCTTAATCCCACAGCTTCTACCTCCTAATATCTCCCTTCATTGTTTCCTCTCCATTCTCACCACCAGTATGTTCACTGTGGTTCTCAGCACTCATCACCAGATAGCTCCAGCCCCTTCCTGGTGGGTTCCCGGCCTTAAGCCTATCTGCTACCTCCGCTACAGTTGCCTTGCCACCAATGGGCTTCATGAAGGGTGAGTGATCCCTGTAGTCACAAAGCACAGGGATTCATGCTCAGAAGGGCCCATGCTTGAGGGCAAATGCTCTCTGGTTGCTGTCTTGAAATTCTGAATGATTTACCGTTTTGGAAGTGAGGTCCATGGCACATGAACCATGGGCCGGGGGTTTAGGGTCTTGGTTCTCATGTGCAGCATCTCTTACCACCTTCCTGCCTTCTAGGACAGATTCTCGGATACCCATTTTCCTGCCCCTGGCACCCTGGGCCCTGCCCAGCCTCCCCCACAACCTGTCCCAGTGACACTGTCCACTCCACTTCAGTGGAGGTTGGGTGCAGGGTGGAGAGGGGCAGGGTTGGTGAGCGTGCTCCACAGTATCTTGCAAGGGGGTGTGGCAGTGGCCATCCTCACCCCAGGCTGTCAGTGCTACCATGCATGTAGCAGGCGACTTGGTAAAGGAAGCCTCAGGCTCAACCTTAACCAAGATACCCAGTGCATCTTGACAGGGAAGTTGCAATACCCTCAGGGGTTACCTGCTCACCAAGGGTGGGAGCACCTGGCCTCCGGGAAGGAGAGACACCTGGCTGCATCTTCCTGCCCCTAGCTGAAGCATGGCACATCAGTCCCAGAGAGGAAGAGCCAGCTGTCAGTGGACCACATGTGTCCCAAGTCTCAGGGAGGGCTCCAGCTCCCACGGAAGTCTGTACTTGTCCCACAAGTGTCCTGCCATGAAGACCGGAGGGACATGACATTAAAGAGGATAAAAAATGCCATGACAGATTGAGAGACTGCAGAATGAAGGGAAATGCTCTGTATTATAAAGCCTTTAACAGCACCTTTTTTTTTTTCTGGTTTTTGAATAAATGGGCCCACATTTTCATTTTGCACAGGGACCCCAGGATCCAGTCCTGGCTGTCAACATGGCCCTTCTAAATTCTGACCCTGACACACTGCTTACCTGTGACACTCCTTCAGTGCGCTCCCCTTTCCTGTAACTCAGAGCAGAAAGTTTGAGCCTCCTGGCTAGGCCCCCTTGTCTGGCACGTGCTGATTTCCTCAGCCCCATCCCTTTTGCTCACCCACACTCACCCTCTGCCTCGGCCATCTTGAAGCATTAGCAGCTTTTTGAACATGTCTTGCTACTTTATGTCACTGCTCATCACGTATTCTTCCCTCTGTTACCATTGTCTACCGCCACCTTTATCTGACTGTGTCTACTCAAGCCTCACTTCCTTCCATGGCCTTCCCTGACTACCCCAGCCCCCATCAGGCTCCCTCCCAGGAGAACTGTGTCATGGCCCTGATCCCTGTATCCTAGAATCACAGATGTTCCTACCTGGCTTCACTGTCATATGTATGCAACATGATCCTGATGACAGGGACCATATGACCTTCTATTACTAGCTCCAGCAGAGGGTCTGACACTTTCAGGGAACACTGAATTCAACACTAAGCTGGACATACTGGTTCTCTCGGCACATTCCCTTCATTGCCTGCTTAGTGAGATGATCTGAATCAAACAAATCAGTCCCACTGGCCACTTTCTCCTGAGAGAGGAGCCTTCTCAATCACCAAGATGGCCAAGGCACCATTTTAAACCTATTTTATAGGCCTACCACTTTCTGATCATGTCATCTGCAATGATCCCGTGGGTTTCAGTTCTTGCTTATCACCAAACCTCAGCCACAGAAATTAGAGATCAAAAGCAGTGGACTCCTTTTTCTTAAGAGAAAAAAAAATCATTTTTCCCCTTTGACACATTCATAAAGCTCTAACAATGCAATCCTAGTACAGGGACCTTCCCTCCACCACTTTCCTATGAAGATCAATGCCCCGTACAATGGGTTTTATGACCTTAGAACCGGAATCTAAAGATAGGCTATTCAATCATCTGGTCCTGATCCCTCATCTTACCATTGTGGACACTGAATGCAGGGGGCCAGGGACTGTCTCCATTCCAACCCAAGCCCATGCTCATGCCACTGTTCCATGCAGCCTCTGTGAACTGGGAGTTATCTCCAGGCTCCTGATTCACACTTTCACTCACTTCTTTGAGAGGATACAAGGTCATCCTTGCTTGTAGGTTTCCTTTCTTCAAGATCTCTAGACTGTAATATTGTCCCATCAATTGTCCAGTAACTCAAAACCTACCAGCCATACTAAACTAACCCATGATTCTGGCATTCTCTGTTGCCACTTCTCACTGGTGCTTTATTTTCCTCCTGAATGTTCATCAAGGAGTTCGTGAAAAACTGGGAAGGGGCGGGAATGAGGTTATTGAGCTGTCAGTGATCAGACAATACAACTTACCTCACAGCAACAGTTTACTTCACTAAATCGTGGGGGAACTGATGAGGAAGGAATGATGCTGGTTGATGCACAGTATTGACACAGTAGCCACACAAACCACATTCAATATCTCTGTAAGCCAGCTGCTGGCTGGTTTTGGGGGCAGTGTAATTGCTGCTGCCATCATTTCATGAACAGTCCCCTCTTCATCCCACCACCATTCATGGATTAGTTACTAAACTAGCAGGACTATTTCAGACAGAGAGCAATCAGCAAATCAGAAGCTTTCCAACAGACTGGAATGGGTGGCTTTATGAGACACATTCCCAGTCACCTTGCTAACAGCCCTCAGGTTTCAGAAACGTCATTAAATATTCCATTCAAGAAATACAGGAAACCCTAAATGTGATCTACCTCATCCCCGTCCCCACCGCCTCCCCCACACCATCTCCACCCTTCAGGCGCATTCTAAACTTACAGAAATGTGGCCAGGAGAGAGTTAGACTATTTTGCGTGATGCAATACAGCCTGTTCAACTTTTGCATAGCAATTCAGCAAACACAGTTTTAAGCATTCAATTCTACTTCTACAGCTTCTTAAAATTCCCTGCAATATAATTATACTGATGGGAATGCAGAAAGATAATTGCTTTTAGAGGAAAGTTTCTCCTTTGTTCCATGTTCATCTGGCTTCCAGAAATGGAACAAGAGCCCTTGAACAGCAGAAATACGCATCCATGTGTCTCTAGTTATCATTTATTTACAAAGATAGACCTTGACAAATGTAATTTGTTCAATAAAATTAAAAGGATGCACGATAATTCACTTAGACAAAGAGACTTGAAAGGGGACGTCATCGGCAGCAGCGCCGTCCATCATTCCAAATGATCAGCTGACTTTGAAGAAGTGGCAGGTGTTCCCCTTTTGGAATGCAGCATTGAAATAGTATTTAGAAGGGGGAAAGAAAGAAAGAGAGCTAGGAATTGGAGCAATTTTTTATTCAGGCAATAATTATACAAATTAGATCTATGAAAGCCAGAGAATGACTGTGCCTTGAACCCTGTCTGTGTGCATAGAACAATGGGGAAATTAATAATTAAATCTATTACATATGCTCATAATTCAATACAAAAGATACCTCAGTAGTTCAAACACTCCTGTATTTTCATCTGAATAAGGCTTTCACACATTCTCATTATATATGTATTATATTTTAAATTTAACAGCTTATTTTGTTGCCTTTATGTTTGAATTAATAAGGGCACACTTTAATGCACTAATGGGGAATTGCATTAGCTGGCTTTGCAGACATAACTTTGAAAATCTCCCTGGTTTCCCAAGGGTGAAATCAATTTGCCCCGTAACGTATTGTCTCACAGACACATCTGGAATCTTGGAAGAATAGCTCCCCTCTACAAGCTTCTGATTTGGGCCTCTGTATTCAAAAGAGGATCCCCTAGTAGATACCCTTGCTAAACTGAACAGACCCATCAGGATCAGCTTCTGGATTTTGCAATCTTTTAGCCAGCTGACATGCTTCCCATGCCTAGCCCATGTTATTTTTCCAGAGAACAAAAATAATTTTTCTGCGAAAAAGTAAAGGTTTATTTTTAAACCAATAATTCATTTCCTCTCTTTTTAAAATATTTCTTTCTCACTCCCTCTCTCCCTCTGGCTTTCTTTATATTCCTATTTTTAACTCTTCATACTACCTCTGGCTCCACGGAGAGTGAAGACGACAAGGAAATTAGAAAAAAGAGGGAGAGAGAAAGAAAAGTATATCCTATGGTGGGCAATGATGGAAAGGCCCCCACAATTGTTGAGGTACCAATTAATAGCATCAGAAGTACTGGAGTTCAGGACAGGGGGATTGGTAGTTGAACTACAGCACTGAAATCCCAGAGAGCACAGGGAGTTCACAAAGTGAGAGTCTCAGTTTTCTAAAAAACAGGGTGACTGCACTGGAGGGTCAAATGCTAAAGTTATAATCAATGGAAAACACCCATCCCTCTGCAACCCAGAGAAGAGACAAAGAAGTCAGTATCTGTGAGAAAGAAAGAGAGGAAGCCTAACCAACTGCTCACATCTCAGTGCAAAGCGGCTGCCAGCATACCCGGACAGCCCGGCACATGCGGAGGCACTTGCCGCTGCTGCCACTGCGCTATGACAAGGAGTTTTGTGCCTTCGGAGGAGCGCCAAATCCAATGATGCTAATTGCATTGCAGATTTCTAGCATCATTAGCAATTCTTAAAATTACATTTGCCCTGCTTAAGTTCTCTATTTCCAGCCTGGTATACGAAGGGGGTAAGTCTCTAAAGGGGATATGGGTTACAGAGAAATTCGATTGGACATGCTGGCTTCAGGTGTGCAGGTGGAGGCTGGCTGGGGGGAATCACAGCCCAGGAAAAATGCTTGTTTGTCTTATTTTAAATGCTGATTGCCGGGAGAATAAACAAAACCCGCAGCTAAATGGGCCTTAAAGGAACACTGGGAATTTTGGAAAGAAAAAAAGCCTTACCAAATAACAGTTGGAACTAGCCCTGTGGGTCCTATGGTGACAAGCACCATCCAACCACCCCGAGCAATGGAGTAACTTGCATTTGAAATAGTTGGTGCAGAAATAACCACTCTCCTTTTGTTTGTTTGTATTTAAAACAAATGAATAAAATCCAGATGAATGGGTGTTTCTGCTTTGTTTGTTTGTTTCCTTAAAGAGAACATATTTGCTCATTAGGAAAGCTAGACAGCCAGCTCCAGAAACAAAAGCCCCAAGTCTGTGTCTCTCCCGCGCTTTGGCAAATACTTTGCCACAACATTTCCCAGCCCAAGTATCTCAACCCTGCTGGGAAGGGAAAGGCCATCACAAGAGCAGAGCAGAGGTCAGGATCCGCCTCTCCAGAGGCTGCTGGCTCCTAAAATTGGGGCAGGGCTCTGTGCAGTTGGGATTTACACGGCAGAGTCATTGAGAGACCACCAACACCAGCCTCTCCCAGAGCAGAGGGGTGGCCTCTACTCTGAATATGGCAACAGAAAGGGGACCAGCTCCTGGGTATTTTTTCCAACAATTTATCCCATGTAATTAAATTGCTAAGCCTATATATTTATAGACACATACATACACATATACATACACACACTTACAAATATGTATTATATATACAGCTCTATGTAAAAACACTTACATAGAGGGAGTGTATAGCTTTTAATTGGGCCGTCTTCTCAAAATAATTAAGCCAGTTTTAATGAAATACTGTTTAAGGCTGCTGGCAGGCAAAGAAGCCATCTTTAGCAGAGCATTAATAAACTGAGTCATTCGCACGAGGGAATGGCTAGCTGTATCAGTCACATTCATGGTGCTAATAAAAGAGCTCAGTTCTCTGTGGCAGGCCAAGGATTGTGGGGCCGGGAGGGAGCACAGGGCCCAGTCATCTCGGGCTCAGTGTCACAGACAGTCCTTATGGCTGCAACGGAGTTCACAGTACAAGCTGGAAGAAGGGTATGCTTGCCCTCAAAGGATCCCAGCAGGAATCTAAGTTCATTGCTCTGTCCATGGAAGAGTAAGGTGACCAATCACAGGGCCTGGTAAGGTCTCCAGCGCTCCTTAGCATCTGTGGGTGATGCTGGACCAGCATTGGAAACAGGGTGCAAGGGTGGCCAGAGTTTCTCCTTTTGGTGTCCCAGTTCCTTATCTACAGTGACCTCCAACCCCATGATGTCAATGAGATAAACATGTTGGGAGGGTTTCTCAGAGGTGTTAATGGGGTTAATGTTTAACTCTTAAAATGAGGACAGTCATTCTCTAAACCAGTAAATTAGATAGGACTTCCCTTATCAATACCTCCTGCTGCTTTTTAGCTGCTGCTTTTTAGCAGCAGGAGGTACTGATAGGTAAAGGAATCTCTGGTTTGATTTTTAATAAAAGGGATGGTTTACCCATTCTCACAATGAGAATCTTTACAAACTGTGCTGACTTTCACCAAAAGCGATGAGATGGACTTGATGCCACATATAGGTCCATGCCAATGAGATGGTGTAGCAGTATCTGGTGCTAGAAAGAAAGGGGCCTGTATAAGAGTCCCACTGTACCAACGAGGAAGCTGACCTGCCCCAGTGTTATACCCTTTATCCCCAGAGGCACAGCCGCATCCTGAATCCTTCCTCAAGAGTCCTGGGAGAAAAAAATAAGCCCCGTTACCCTCCCTTTCTGTCTTGGAGAGAAGAGACCTATAAAACATTAACGGCGCAGGGAAAGTTTTTCCTAATTCCAAACAAGGTGGGAAAAACAAGAACCTTTTGATTTCTGTAACATCAATTTGGTGAAAGGCAAGCACGGAAGTTTAGATTGGACCATGATAACAGTTACCATTTACTGAGCCTTTTCACTTGCGGGGAGGACACTGTAGACGCATAATAGTTCATAATCCTCACCACAACTCTGTGAGCTAGGGAGTTGTATTCCTACTTGACAGAACAGGAAACTGAGGCTCAAAAAGTTAACCAACTTACCCATAGTCCTAGAGCTCACCAACAGCAAAGGCAGGATTCAGACACCCCAAGGCAGTGAACGGGGGGCCCTGGTTCTGGTCCTCCCTCTCCCGTTCTCCTCTACTCAGGCTTGATGCTGGGTCCATTCTCCCTTTGGCCTCACCATTAAAGCTAATGTTGACATTTCCGTCAACTTCCCAGTCTCATACTCCCAGGAGTAGCAACATGTATCAAGCCCTGGTGCAGACATAGTCCTTACAAAAGGCAACTTTTGGGGAAGAAAAAGAAACTCCTTGTTCTCAGCTCACTGTCAGAACTGATGCCTGGGCGGACAGGAAGCGTGCCTGAAGTGTGCTTTCAGCACGAAGGAGGAAGGAGAGGCGCGCGCAGGGCTTGATTCCCGGTTCTCCAGAATCCGGAAGTGGAAGAAGCCTGGGAGTGACGAGGGACCCCAGATCCGGCCTAAACCAGCGCCCTTGGGTGAAGCCCCTGCTGAGTCCTGGACAAAGGAGCCGCGACCTGGCGGGGGGGACCGGGAGAAGGGAACGGAGACCCCAGCGGAGCCAAGGAGCCTGGATGGGCAGAGGAAATGGGCGACGGGTAAATGGAGATGCAGCCGGGAATGGGAGAGGACGACCATCGACTGGGAAGCGGAAACTCCCTTGCGGTTTGAGGGCCCTGAGGAGGGGAAGCGCCCCGCACTCGCCTCCGGGGGTGAAGGACGACGGCAGGGCCTCCCGAGGCCGCCGTGCGGGGACCGCCTGGCTGAGCAGCCCCTGCCCGGCCCCTGCTCGCTCCTCCGGCTAGCACGAGGCCCCACCGTTCAAGCGCACTGTGTATCGCGCCTGCAGCCTTTAGAAAATAGAAAAATACGGAGTATATGTAGTACCCCACACCCTTGTAATGATGCCGCTCCAAGCAAATGAGTCCTTAATAACCCGGGGTGCTGGGGGCAGCGACCGATGGGGAGCAAACAGCCTGGCCCTGTGGTGTTGAACGCGCGGCACTGGAGACTCCCGACACTCCATGGGGCGCAAGTCCCAGCTCCTGGCAGACCAGCACCCGGCCTTCCCCCGCTAGGAGCCGGGCTTCTGACGGGAGGGCACGGTGGCGAGAGGGCGCCAGCAGGACGCCTGACGTTGCGTGAAAAAAAACCAGAAAATTCCACAGCACCGCGGCGAGTGCTCCCAGGCTGCGACCGCGCCTCGGGCCGCGAGGATGTTCCTGTGGCGCCACCTAGTGTCCGAGGTGCAGACAACGCTCTGGCGAGGGCTGCAAGGTCGGCCTGCGACCAGCCCTGGGACTTCAGACTCGGGCTGGGGCCTTGGGATGGGTCATCCAGGGGTCCCCGGCTGTGGACCAGTGATGCCTTTCCACCAGACAAAAAGCCCCCCAGACGTTTCTCTCTTCCTGCTGCAACCAAAGCTAAAAAGAAAATTTGCCAGAATGAATGGAATAACTGACGGTCCCTTTCAATTAGACGTCCATGAGGTGATGTCTGGTTTTTCCTAAATACAATGGCAAGTCGATTATTAGTTCATCCAGAAAAAATATAGATGCTATCATCGTATAAACATGAGTCCCCACATAGAACTGAGCCTCAGACCTGCTGGAGGTGCTTTGTCTGGGAAACACTGAACTAGAATTTTGGGTGGGACAAAGTAGAAGCTTTACTTTTTATTTAACAGTAGCCTGAAGACCTCCTGCAGAATAATGGAAAGGATAAAGACTTGGAAGCCCGGATACTAAGGTTCTGGTATTAGCTCTGCCCCCCAGCTGTCTGTGTGACCTTGACCAGAGGGAAAGAGTTTTACTACCTCTCACAATACTGTGGAGTCTAGATTGGTATCTCCATGTAATCAGTGAGGAAACGGGCTCCAGGAGTTTACCCAAGGCTGGGCAGCAGATCAGTGGCCAGACCAAGCTTCAGCTGCACGTCTGCCCAACTCTGAAGAGCACGTTCCCTTCACAAGCCATCAAATCCCTTCCTGCTTCACCCTCTTCATCTACCACTTGAAGGGGCTGTACCGAGTGGTCACAGTTCCTTCCAGATACAGCAAACCGTGATTCTAAGGTTTCACTGATCCCTTAAAACCCAGTTTTAGTGCTCACAAACCCCGTGGTGATAACAAAAGAGCCTTTAAAAAGGATTTATCCACCTATAAAAACCATTAGATTTTATTTGGGGCTATGGGCAAAGAACACCAAAACAAATGTGTTGGAACATCAAACCTCCTTTAAAATTTAGAGCAGCAGGGACAGAGGAGAAAATCTGCACAGGGCAAGGAGGGACAACTTACGGATTCCATGGTTGGAACCAGACTGCGGGGCACTGCTTATCTGCCATTGGCTTCCTGGGGGATAATTGCCTCCTGACAATTGTTTAGACTTGATAAATACATGAAATGGTGCTGCAAACAGTTTATCTGGCTACCAGTTCAGATCCGGACAGAACCAGATGAAGAAGTCAGGCACATTTGCAATAACCTCAAAGATAAAACCTTCCTATCAGAGGCAGCTTATCTCCTCCTCAGGGTCATGTTGCCCAGTAACTGCCACCTCCAAAAGAAGGAAGGGGAGAGCACTTCTAGCAGGGGGCTCCCAGTGGGCCTTGCTTGCCTTGAACTCCCCTTCCTGCTCCCAGGACAGGCCACCTGTCTGGCAGCAAGGGGGTGGTACTGCGCCCCAGTCTGGCAGGCTTGGGAAAGATGTTGGCAAGGAAAGTGGAAGACATGGGCAACTAGACCCCAAAGCCAAGGTCACCTAACTCTGAGATGCTTTTCTCGTGGACTCTTCCTTTGCTTCATCAGGGACAAGCTAAAGGAACTTCAGGCCTCCCCAGCAAAGATAACAGCATGAATCGCAGCTCACAGGAGCTGGGACCCTGCTGGGCTACATACTCACCCCATGACCAAAGGCAAGTGGGACTTCTGGGCCTCAGTTTCCTCACCTCTCAGGGGTTTAACCTAAATAATCCCTAAGATCCTACTGAGCTATTTTAAGGACTGGAATCAAACCAGCCAGACCTCTTTATGGTTTAAAAGAGGCCAGAGGTTTCATTGAAGAACCATCTCCCTCACATTTTTCCTCTTCCCCCTCCCCCACACCTCTCATTCGCTGGCCACAAACCTCCATCCTCCAACTCCTTTCCAACGTCAGTCGCTGGCTCCACCAGCCTGGCTAAGGAGCGAGGAGACCATCACCTCAGAAAGCAGCCCCGCTGGGAGGTCCATGGCAGTTCGTCGAGCTGTGGACAGGCCCTTTATTTTCCATCTGTCAAGAAAGGAAGCTGCTTGTTGCTTATTTCCTCCCCCACTCTTCTCCCTTCCCACCAGAAGATTCTTCCACCTTCAAAATATTCTGATGGGGGATCACAGGAGTTTTCCTCAAACAAGATCACTGGGGGTCAACTACTGACCAACCCCCAGCCTCAGCCCCACCCATTCCCTCACCCTCCAGCTTGAGCGAGTGTACTAACTCCAGTTAGTAAAGCAGTTGGCTCAACAGGACAACAACCAAAAGTGACCTTCTATGTCCTAAAGCCCTCACCTGACACCACCCCCTAATTCTTCGGGGGCCTTTTGGGGACCCACAATTGAGCTGTATTCTGCAGAAGGAACTTCCAAAGGAAAGGAATAAGGCATTGTTTTACCAAGAGCCTTTTTTCCCTCAAGAAACTCAATGTAAACTAGGAACCTTGCACTTTCTTTTCCCTTTGGGTAGGTGAGCAGAAGGGAAGACTTACCACCCAGGGTGAGGTCATTCCTCCGTGGTGGTAGAATGTCTGGGTCTTTCAGTTTCCCCATGGTGCTGGCCTCACAATAGGTGTTCATGAGGTGCAGGCTAATTGGGTGAGTGGATGCAGTGCTCTGATGGATTTATTCAGTGTACGAGATTGCAAAGCCATATGCCAGCAAAGGCTTAACCACCCCACCCTACCCTTCAGACCAGCTCCATAGCTTTCTATGTTCCTGTCTGCCCAGCCTCAGGCCAAAGCAAAGGCAGGGATCTGAGCTGTACCTGCTGTGAACGCCCACCTCCTGACCCCTGTGCTAGTGCCTGGTCCCTGCGTGCCTTGGCTTTCTGTCTTCTCTCCGGACTATGATTCATGGCAGATATTAAAAAGGAAACAGCATCCTTCAATTCTTTCTACCATTTCTCTTATCTTTAAAGGGTTCTTATTAAGCAGTATCTTCAAACTTATTTATGTGATGTCATGCTAGGAAGCAGTGTTGTCAATGTGCCACTGTCCTTGAGCACTGAATTCAGTAAAAATAAAAGCCAAATAAATGTTATATTGTCTCCATGCAGAATCTTCTCTAGTCATGACTAGCTATCCAGAGAGTAGGGAATCCCTAAAGATAATCAGATAATGGTGACTTTTGCTTACTGAGGCAAGCTCCCCTTTCCTGACTGCTTCTGCAGTGATTGATCCAGAGGCCAGCTTCTTGCTGGGGCACAATCGCAATCCGCTCTAAGAAGCCAGCCCAGAAGCAGGGACACAAAATCATGGGGAGCAGACCATGGCCAAAGCATCATGCTATTACCCTTCACTTCACATTTTTTAGCTCTTTTTTGAAAGTTATGAAAGATACACAGATGTATATATTTTATGTTTTCATATTAAAGTGTTTTCATATTAAAAATGAAAGGGCAGAAGGAAATGAGGAAGGGGAAGAAAGTAGCACTCAAACGCCAAGTATCATGCTGGGAACTTGGAGTTCTCAAGCCCTCCAGTCTTGGTCACTGGGGAGGGGAATGGGCATCGCCCACTTAGTTCATATTTGAATAACTGCTCATATTTGAAAATGTCTTCAACTGCAACCACATGAAGTGGGGAGCCCCCACAGAATCCCCACGTCTTCCCTGAGAGCTCTTGGACCATGCTCCTTCATCCTCCATGACTTTGATCTCGTAGTTCTGTTTACCTTCAGTGCCTTCTCACTCTTTAGACCCTCATCCCAACCCCTTCCACTTTTCAAGACTCATTTAGACATCATCCCCAAGAAAGCTTCTGATTCCCCACTGTCGTCCAGTCCCATCTGGGTGGGCACCCATAGAGATGTCCTGTACAGCACTTGTCCCCACATGTTAGAATACTCTGCATATCTGTCTGCTTCGTCAAGGTACTCTGAGCTCTTTGAATGAGAGTCTTGTTCAGCTTTGCATCCCCAGTGTCTACTGGTTCAGTTCTAGGCTACCACTTGCCCAAACAACACCTCTGTGTTCTAAGAGAAAGAAGAATGCAGCCCCATCCCTCCCACTCACCCCATACACACACTGTCAGCCTCCAAGCAAGGCCATGAGACTCCCTTGTTCAAGTTAGAAAAAGGTATTCCCTCCTCATAGTGGGCGCAGCTCCACAGCAAGGAGCAAGGCTTGGTGGGTAGGACATAAGCTGGATGTCAGCACCCACTGGGCCCGGCCTCCAGGTAACCTGCACAACTGTATTGGTTGGCTCTGGTTGGATCCATCACTCCATCCAGAGAGCAGTGACCCACTTCTCCTGACCTCTGGCTCAGCTTCCAAGACACCAGGCTGCTTTTCTGAACTACTACCAGCTACTCCCTCTAACCATAGCTGCTCATGAGGTAGATAAGCCCCTGTGTCTCTAACAGCACAGTGCCCCAAACACAGACCCCAGCAGAGAGAAGCTGAGGAGGTCCTGTTTCTTCCAGGCCCATTGCCAGCCTCTGTCTGGGTGTGGGCACATGGACTCATTTACATGGCTGGTTTGGAGCCTTTGGCAGATGGAAGTGTGCAGATAGTTTTATATGTGTTGCTCATCATTAAACCTCCCCTTCAGGGTTTCTTGCCGCCTTTGGTTTGTGTCTCAATCTGGAGCAAATTTAAGCAATGGTTTAGGCCTCTGCATTTCCTTGATTTAATTAATAATTCATAATAAAAATTTAATCAAGGCATAAGCTTTTGTGGAAGGTTATAAAACACTTTTATTTGCCCTGGAGATCAGAATGACCACTTTCTAAATCTGTGAAATGATGGGTTTTTTCCCAAATGAGGAAATTTTACTCTCAACTGTAAATTTCAGCTGTTTGCCATATGTAACCGCAGAGAATCTGTTTATTGACTTAGTATATTAGGAGTAGTTAGGCAGGAAGAAAAATAAACCCAAACTCCAGACGGGAGAAAGTGTGGGGAAGGAATGAAGAGTTGAAGTTAGAGTCTAGCAAACCTCTAGCCTCAGAGAATAACGAGAAGAGACAAATGGTAGAACCCATCTCCCAAAGGAGACGATCATGATAGTAACCAGATTGGGAGACAAAGAAACTGGCTGGACAGTCATCACAAGCCATTCAAGATCTTTGGAGACGTAAGCAGAGAATGCAAAAGGAAGAGTGGAGTCCTGCGAGGATATCAGACACTATGTGAACTCTGCAGCAGGGTGTGGAGTCCTGCTTGGTGAAAACTGTAAACACGGGATGGGTTTTCACCTGCCTGAAATAGCAGAAAAATGTTCTTGGCAAATAGGAGAGAGAGGGTCTAGAGCAGGGGTAGCTCAAATGTCCATCAGTAGACAAAGCCAAACCACCAGGAAAGCCACCTAAAAATACAGGTTCCTCGGCCTCCACTTTAAATGCCTTTTAAAGCTCTGCAGGTGACTTTGATGTCAGTCAGCTTTGGGAACCGTGGTCCAGACGACCTTTTAAAGTCCTTCAGCATTAATTCTCTGAGATTTGTAAAAATTAACTCAAGAGAGGAAACACAAAGTTGCTGCAAAGAGCTGGATTCAGGGGATAATGTCTAATAATCAGTTTTCTCCATAATGATTATTGTAAAAACAACATGTTATTAACTTTGTGGTTACTCCCTTACTCTGACAACAACTCTGAAAGAAGGGTATTGTTATCCCTCTTTTACAGCAGGAAATGGAGTTTCAGAGAGGTGAATCAGTTAGCCCAAAGCCACGTTGCTAGTGAATGGCAGGGACAGGATTTGAGGTCTCCTGACTGCAAACACCGTACTCAACCTTCATGGCCTGCATGGACCAGTCCTCTTTAAAGTTAGCTAAGTGGGCTGGGCGGGATGGCTCACACCTGTAATCCCAGCACTTTGGGAGACCGAGGTGGGTGGATCACGAGGTCAAGAGTTCGAGACCAGCCTGGCCAACATGGTGAAACCCCATCTCTACTAAAAATACAAAAATTAGCCAGGCATGGTGGCGGGCGCCTGTAATCCTAGCTACTTGGGAGGCTGAGGCAGGAGAATCTCTTGAACCTGGGAGGCGGAGGTTGCAGTGAGCTGAGATTGTGCCACTGCACTCTAGCTTGGGCAACAAGAGCGAAACACCGTCTCAAAAAAATAATAATAATGAAATAAAGTTAGCTAAATTTCTAGCACATATGCTTATTTTGGATCAGGCAGAGATTTGGCTTTGTTTTCTAGCTGCCATGGCAAAGCAAAAAGATGGGGGGAGGAGAGACATCTGATTTGTTAGAGAATTCAGTGATCATAACAAACCAGAATCATGAAATAAGCCAGTCACCAAAAGACAAATACTGTCTGATTCCTCTTAAAGGAGGTAACCAGAGGAGTCAAATTCACAGAGAGAGAAAGTAGAACGCTGGCTGCCAGGAAGTGTAGAGAAGGGGAATGGGGAGCTATTGTATAACGGGTACAAGGTTTCCATCTGGGAAGACGAAAAGAGTTCAGGAGATGGATGGTGGTGAGGGTGGCACAGCAGTATAGGTGCTGACTGCCACGGAACTACGCACATAAAAACAGTTAAGATGGCAAATTTTCTGTCGTGTGCATTTTACCACAATTCTAAAAAGTTATAACTTAAAAATGAAAAGAAAAAAACAAAAAAGAAGCCAGCCCCCGAGGAGCTGAACTACTCCTTCTGATACGAAGATGAGGAAGAAGTGTCTCCTTAGAGTTCCACCAAAAGGAGACTTTTAAGGTTGCAAATGACAGCTTCAACAACATGCTTACAGAAGACACATTTCTCAGCCTTCAGTGGAGGTTGATGGCTTCACTCTAAAATGCAGTTCAGAGAAAGCACTACGGTGGGGCAGGGGGATATCATGGCATCCAGGTAACCACACGGGATGGTTCATGGAGGCAGGAGAGGACATCTGCTCACATGACTGTGGGAGAGCAGGCTGCCTGGTCTTCTGCAGAGGCTCCAGCAGGAGGGAACTTGTGCTAGCACCACTACTGCCCAGTTTGAAAGTGAGACATGCAAATATGGCCACTTGGCCACCCACCAGAGTTAACACTGATATGATACTCATGTCCCCAAGTTCTCCAGCCTTCAAGGCTCGACTCTTCCCTTAACATGCAAATAGCTACAACCTTAGCTCCTATCCCAGGAGGCTGCAGGAAAGCCAGTCTTTAGTGGGCTTCTCCTACCCTAGGTGTTTCTAAGAATCACCCAGGAATGCATCCACATTCCAAAGATCAGGCCTGTTTGCCACATCAGCTTGCCCTGGATGGACAAGTTTTCCACTGCCTCTAAGTCACCCTTGGCTTCTCCAGTCGCTGGCTCCCCCACTGCATAGACCCAGACCCCTCCTTTAGTCTCCCAGAACATAAGACCAGACTGTAATATTGATCGAAATTTTCTGAAAGCTCAAAGATAGCAAAAAGGAATTACAAAATAGAAACAGAAAGCTTAAACCTTAGAGCTAGGAAATCCTAGCCATCTTTGTCCTTAACTCCTAATTTGTCCCACATTTCAGGGGCCAGTCTGCTTTTCCCCAAATGCTTTGACCATGTTCCTTCTACCTAGAATCTGGCTTCCCTGATACATTTTGGGGTCCAAAAAAGAGAGAAATCTCCCAGA